AAAAAAAAAAAAAAAAAAAAGAACCAAATGATAAACACCAAATTCAGGAAAAAGGAGTGTATAAGATGATAAAGGGGCACACAGGGGACTTCAAATGTACTAGCTATGTTTTTCAGACTGAGTGCAAACAAAGAGTATTCCTTATGCTGTAGTTCCCAGACACATTTTTTTTTCCCTGAAATTAAGATGTATTTTGCAGTCATGTTATAGTTTCAATGGTAGGATTTCTTAGTGAGACACAAAATAGTTCCTCTCAAAATTAGTGATATCTTATGTGTGTGAAATAGGGTATTATTCATTATATCCTCTGTATTCCTTTAATATTGCATAGTAAACGTATTTTAAAGGGCGTAACAATTGGATCTGGGTCTTTTTAAGGATTTAATGCTTCAGAGAGGAGAGGGTAGGGAATTTAAGATGGGGGGAGAGTACAGTCAACATAAAAGAGTACCAGTAAGCATGATGCATTCAGAGAACTGTGAAGGGCTTTTTGAGATAATAAATGTGTGTGCACCTGTACTAAGACTATACCAATCGGCAATGTAAAAGACTGACAAGAACGGAGAAAACAGACAAGAATAAAGCCATCTATAAGATAATGTATTTCACATGGCAGATAATAAAAGCTTGGACCAGAGTGGCAGCAATGAGAATTAACAAGAGACAGAAGAGAGATTTCTGTTGAATACATGGTAGTTGTCAAGGGTGAGGCATCTTCGAACATTTTAAGACAAAAAAAAATCACATAAAATAGTTACTAGGTCAAGCCAGTGGGTGTCAACTCTAGATGCTTATGAAAAAAATCCATGGAGCATTAAAACAAAAAAAAGTATCCATGGCTTACTGAATGAGAATCTCCAGAAATCCGGGGAGCAACTAGGTGTGTGTGCAAGCTGCAAGGATGGGACTAAAATCCACTATCTTAAACTTTGGCAATATCCATAAGGTCATCAAATCCACAAAGAGTTTCAATGAGGCTGGAGGAGACTGCCCTCTTCAAATCCACTAGGAAAGGAACTGAGGTGGAATTTAAGGGAAATCAGGGTCAGGTAACATAGATCTTTCAAGATTAACCACTACCTTTCACCTAACCCTAGAAAATATTAAAATACAAATAATCCCATCTATCCTCAAGGATGGCACCTGGCACTTGATCATGAATTCCAACCTATATTCACCCAATAATCATCACCTCATGCATACCATGTGTCAAGTGCTTTTTAAGACTCTGATAAGAAAATTGATATAGTCCTTTCCTTATAGGAATACCTATCTGGCAGGGGTGACAGAGATTATTAGATGCCAACAGAGAGGCAGGATCAACCAGTTTGTTGTCCACAGAAGGAAGAAAAATTTTTGGGCTAAATGTTGATGTTGAAAAGATCAATTAGGGGGTGGGGGTGGGGATTATAAGTAAAGGAACCAGCAAAACATTATTATTTTTTTTTGAGATGGGAGACTTGCTCTGTCACCCAGGCTGGAGTGCAGTGGTGCGATCTCGGCTCATTGCAACCTCCGCCTCGCAGATTCAAGCAGTTCTCCTGCCACAGCCTCCCGAGTAGCTGGGATTACAGGTGTCCACCACTATGCCCAGCTAATTTTTGTATTTTTAGTAGAGACGGGATTTCACTACGTTGGCCAGGGTGGTCTTGAATTCCTGACCTCATAATCTGCCCACCTTGGCCACCCAAAGGGCTGGGATTACAGGTGTCAGCCACTGTGCCCGGCCAATGCTATTTATTACTACTGTCTTAGAGGATAACACACAAATCTTACAGCATAAATAGATGTTGAGAACTTAGTATTAAATGTTAACACTGATCAATAAATTTTCAGAAAGTTTCAAACATTTAAATAGTGTTATTTTCCCAGAGAAATTCATGGGAAACAATTGTGCCAGCCACAGTGGCTCATGCCTGTAATCCCAGCACTTTGGGAGGCTGAGGTGGGTGGATCATAAGGTCAGGAGCTCGAGACTAGTCTGGCCAATATAGTGAAACCTCGTCTCTACTAAAAATACAAAAAATTAGCCAGGTGACCTGTAATCCCAGCTATTCGGGAGCCTGCGGCAGCAGAATCATGGGAACCTGGGAGGTAGAGGGTGCAGTGAGCCAAGATCAAGACAAAGATCTGTCTCAAAAAAAAATAAATAAATAAATAAAAAATAAATAAATATATATCTATATGATTAACTCCAATATGAATAACAAATACTAGTCTACAAAGTCAACTGCAAAGAAAGCTTTCACTATACCACAAGCAGTGGTTCACGCCTGTAATCCCAGCACTTTGGGAGGCTGAAGCAGGTGAATCAGCTGAGGTCAAGAATTCAAGACCAGCCTGGCCACCATGGTGAAACCCTATCTCTACTACAAAAAATAACTGGGCGTGGTGGCAGGCACCTGTAATCCCAG